AAAAAGCTCCTCGTCTAGATACTTTCTGCATCGTACTAATAAAAGCAGAATACAATATCAATAGTCACCCCTTAACAGACATACATTTCACACCAGATGTTCGTTAAAAATTTTTGAAAGCATTTTTGTACATCCTTGTAATTTATATAAGACTCATTAACATGTTTTATTAAAATTTATTATATATAGTACTATAGTGTTACTATAGTGTATCAATTTATTTCCATTCATTACAACTACACACAGCATATAAATGTATGTCAAAAACATTTATCTGATATTATGTCATTAGCCAATATTTTAACTAGTATTTTAAAAATAATTATTGTACTTATTTTTTTTTTTTTGTTATTGAGGAGAAATTCTCAGTAAAGGAAAATGTATAAGCAATCATTCATTTATTGCTCCTGCTATATTAAATTTTTTTAATTAAAACAATAATATTCCATCCATTCCCCACAAAATCATATGCTGCACAATCCAAATTTCTAACAATTGTACCTTACATACTACACCACTCTTCTCGATTTATGTTTGTGTTGTTTTTGTCACTATTATGTGTTTACTAGTTATTAAATGAGGTAAGAACTAATGGAAGCCCAAAGTCAAGTTCAACAACAATAATAAACAGAAACGGAAACGGAAACTTGATTAAAACTCTTACAACAACAAAAAATAAATCCCATACATTTTCTTAAACATATTTTATATTTTCTTCCTTCTGTTTTATATCTTTTCAATATTCATAACATTTTGTGTTCTTATACAAAAAGAACCAAGCTAATATTGTTTTGTTACTTCTTTTACATTCTTATAATAAATGTGAACAAAATGACCAATTTTACTTGAATATATACAATGTTTGAATCTTTTGTTCTTATAAAATATTTAAATTTAAAATTCTCATACTTTCCTTAAAACACTACAGATTTATAAACTTATATATCGGTTCATTTTTAGATTCCTTTCATAATGCATAAATTAGTGAGTTATTTTCAAATACTTTAAAAACTATTATAAAATTTTATGTGTCTAATATTTCAAATAATACAAAATTTTAGAATATAGAATACTTGCATCTAGAACTACATAATCAAAAAATTTATGTATTGTAAATTTTTGCATGAATTTGTATATTAATTTTTGATTTGTAAATTTTAAACTATGATTATTTTGCTTAGTCATAAAACTAAATTAAAACATTTTTAATTCTAGAACTAGTTTGTAAAATTAAAAATAAAATTAATGTATATAATATATGCAATATTATACATACATTATAATTAATGTCTGTATTTATATTTTCTTTTACAATATGTATATTATTTTTTTTTTACATAATTTAAGTGCAATATATTTGTTTAATGCTAATAAATGTTAATAAAGTAATTGTTAATAAACGTTTAACCTTATTTATTTGTGTGTATATAAAGATATAATTATATATGTAGATATATTTATAAACTATATATAAACAATCAACATTTTAGGCTATTTAGGTGACTTTTAATTGCTTACTGTTTTTATTATTCAATTCTATATAGGCATATAATATATTTTATATCTATATCGATATTTTCATGAATGTATATATATGTATATGTTTACGTATATTTAACTATGTATTCAACATTAGCTGCTATACTAGCCTTTATAAACTATTGGTACAATTAATAACTGAAAACTTTCCCTGATTATTTATGAACATTTTTATAGTTTTCAATTTATTTATATAATTTAACTATATATAATATATGAATATATATATATATATATACATATATATACATATACATATATATATATATATATATATATAATGATTCGACATGTATTATTGATGAATTATGCAATAAGGTAATATTAGTTTCATTTAATTGATATTTTGTTTGATCATTGCAGGGGCGCTATGAACTAAAAGCTTAGCAGATTTGCAAAATGATTCAATGGAAGTAGACAAGAGTAAGGCTAGAATTCAAACAGTTGAAATATTGATAGTAAATTATTTAATAATAATTAAACGATTTAGTTCATTTTTTCTAAGCAAATTAAATAGCGCTATATATATATATATAAATATATAAATTAAATATATATATATGAAAATATTTATATATGGAGATATATATATATAATATATATATTAAATATATAAATTAAATATATATATATGAAAATATTTATATATGGAGATATATATATATGGAGATATATATATATGGAAATATATATACATGGAAATATAAATATATAAAAATTTTTGAGATTTAGTTTTAAAATTAAATTGTATAACAATGAATTAATTAAAACTTGGTACCACAATTACTAAATAAATAAATATATATATATATAAATACATGTGGATTGTTTTGTAACTAAATGTTTAATCAATAATTAAATGTTATTAACAAAAAATTTTTAATTTATAATTTCAATTAATGTCCAATATGTTTTTCATTTAAATTGGATTGGAAATTAAAATTGTTGTATTTTTTCAACATACTCAGGTTTCCAAATTTTTTTAAAGTAATTTCTCCGTTTTCTGTGTTTTGCATCAAAATTCGAATGAAAATCAGTATATAATTAAAATTATTTTAATAAATACAAAAAATATTGAGAGATTTTTTTTCAACACTATGTTAGTTAGTATTGAAAAAGAACCACTATTTTAACTATATGGTTTTTTTTATTTCATCTTTTCGCAGTGTAAGTAAAAATTTGAAAAAAATCTTATTGCTTTACCACTATTTTATGTGGAAAATTTGAATGCCTTTTAAATATATTTTGCCTCTAATAAATTTAAAAGACTTGTATTAAGTTTACAACTTTAACATAAAAATCTTGTTGAAATGAAATTATATGTTATCAAATGTACTGTATTTACGTTATAGACAAATTACATGCACAAAATGATGAGACTTATGAAATTTATGAAAATGTATACAGTATATTTCAAGATACACTAAAGCACATATATTAAAAATTTACATTCACAATAAGAAATAAACATTTATTAGAAAACATATATATCTTTGTCGTCGAAAAACGGAAGATTTTAAAAATTTTGAATTTGGGCAGATGTATATTAATAATTATTATCAACTTTTTATCAAATATAAATCGATTTTAATCAGGCTTCAGTTAATCAAATAAAATATTTTAAACCGATATTAAAATTATTAAAGGATCTTTTATTATATATACTTTTTTTATCCTATTATATATGTATTTTATTATTATAATATGATAGCCTTATAATTTTTTTTATTTAAGACCTGAAATTTGAGATTTTCCAAATTTTTAATTAATGCCAACTAAAAGACTCAAATAATCCATCAATTAATGGAAAAATTATATTTTATGTGCCTACTGAATTATCGGTTAAACTTTATTTAACATATACGCTATTTACTATATATACGGATTGCTTAAGTCTATATATACATAAATATGTGTGCATGTCTGTAAAAAATCATATAAAGTAGAGATCACACATAAAAACTTTTATTCATTTCAAAAGAATTTAATAATCAAGTATAAACATTTTTACTTTAAAATTTACCTTCTATAATTAAAATCCTGAAATATAAGTATATATAAATATTTATACAAATGTGCATATTAATATACATATAAATATAGATGTAAACATATATATAAATATTCATATAAGTATACATATACATGTTTACAAATATACAACATATATGTTCTGGGTTATTCATTCCTGTAAAATAATTAAATATACATAAATTCATATATAGAAAAGATATATATATATACAATTCCATAATAAATTCAAAACGCATTTTAGATATTCACTTTATAAGATAAAAATATACAGTAATTTAATAATAAAAAAAAATACTATTTTAATATAGAAAAGTGAATTAGGATTTAGCTGCAGTCTTGTATAAATTTTATAAGCAATAGAATAAATTCTTTTTCAAAGCTATTCATAAAAATATTATATGTTATAAAATTACAAAAAATATAATAATATTATTAATGTTATGTTAGCAATGTAAAAAATATATATTCTTCAATTAAAATTAACATTATATTTATATAAAATCACAATTCAATTTATATAATGCTTTAAATATGTTATAAAATTATTGCGCATACATGTTTTTTGCAAAAAAAATATTGTGGTACCAGTTTAAATATAATATAATATATTACAAATTTAATAAATAATTAAATTTTCGAGACTTAAATTCATTTAATAAAGTATATAAATTTCACAGAAAGAATTATTAATAAAAAATAAAATAAAAATTAAAATATATATATATGACTTCATACATATAAATTCATATAAAATAGTACATATGAAAGAAAACATTTACGGGTTTTTTGTAGTGCTGTTCATATTATTCGGATATTTTAAAAACCGAAGTTATTAATAGAATAGCAATGAAGTCTCCGGAGTTAAAACAAATCAGATTTTTTGTAAATCAAAAGTTTTCGAATGTCCAGAGTTGTGATTATTATGAGCAGTGAAATTATTCGGACACTTCGTGAGCAAACGTTAAAGGGAGAGCACAAAATGCAAATGCATCAGAGAAATAAACACAAATATTTTGAAAGATGATACAATTTGTTATTGCTTATACGATTTTTTGTGTGTTGAACAGCACTAATTTTTTGTACAAAAACTAGTAAAATTCATTAAACTAAAATTGTTAAAATTTAATTAAACTAAAATTTAACTACCACCAAAGCGACATCACTTGTATTAGGGTGACACAGGGTTTAAATAGTTATGAATGCAATTAATTAATGCAATTTAGTTCAACATTAGTTGAAAGAATCTTAAGCTAAACAATTTTAGTGATTTTATATATGAATTCAAACATATTTCATAAATATCAAAAAATTTATATATATATATATATATATAATTATATAATTATATATATATAATTTATATATATTTATATTTATATATGTATTAATGTATATACTAACTCTATAATTTGTTATTAATTGGTGTTTGAACTTTACTATAATGAGAAATATTTAATAATATTAATTATTAAAGCAATAAGATTACGCTTAAATTTATATGTAGGTAGTTGTTTCTCTTGACAAGGACATTTCTGAAGGCACTATAAAAATGATTTATTCGCCTTATGCAGTCTCGATTTGCTTGGATTTATTTTACATTTGAGCTGCTGTATTAGATCAAATATTTTAAGCGCAGGGCCAACTTTCATACCAAACATCGTTATAATTTCGTCTTTTGATAATTCCATTAAACGCTTGCCATCGATTTTATTGCGACTAAATGTATCGCAATGCGCTGTGCAATCGTTAACACGTAAAAATTGCGACACATCATAAACATTCCAATTGTCAGGCGTGAGTTCCGTTTGTGCATCACTGGTAGTAACAGTTAAGTAGGAATTATTATTTGAAGTGCTGGATATGTCGTTTGAATCAGTTAAACGTGGAATGTATTTACTACTGCTAACTGATGAATTCTATTGCGCAAAAAAAATAAATAATTAAAAAAAAACAACTTTTTGTAAAATAAATTTGTCAACATTCAACTCACTCCAATATAACTTGTTGCTTTACGCCCTATGCTTGGTGGTGCTGGAGATACACTCTTCTTGACTGTTTGCATATTGCTAATACGAGCTGCATTCAAAACTTGTTGTGAGAATTTTTCACTGGCACTGCTGACAACTTCTGCAACAAGAGACTGCGGTGTAGACTGACTTGAGCGATGACTTATGCTTTCATCATCAAACTCATCGTCATCAATTTCGGCATGTTCATCATAATAAGTAGAGTTAGGTTGTTCTGCTTTCAATTCTGATTTTATGTTTAATTTTGGAAGATGTGGATTACTTTTTAAAGCCATACTGCGTTGTTTAACTAAAAATTTTAATTGTTTCTTATTTAATACTAAAATTAATAAATATTGATGTGATATAAACGTCAAGAAAACAATTATCAATCTTGTTGCTTTTTATGCTTTATTTACACAATGAACAATTAAATACAAAATACGGGTACTCACGGAAACTCTTAAAAGCGTCTTAAAATGCTTCAATTCAAGTAGATATTAAAATATAACAGCTAACTGAACTATATACAAAAAAATACTTGGTTGCTTGGGTTTATTCGCTTCGGAGCTAATTGAACTGTTGAAACTTAAGTGCGTCTCTTAACTATATATAATTTATTGTGAATGGTAGTAATATTTGCAAAAAAAAAATGGAAGTTGTATGTAAATAATTTTATTCCTTATAATAGTTGACTCAATAAAAAATTATTTTCCAATTTTTTTCAATATTATTTAAATTTATATCAAAATTGCAACTGGGTTGAGAAAACAGTAAAACTGAGAAAACTGAAATATAAGCTATTTATAAAAATTTGAGAGATTTCGTGAGTACTATTAATATTTATCAATATTTTTCACTAATGCTATAAACGCACATGAGATTTTCTTTCTACAAAAACACCAATTTCATTATGTTGTTGTTGTTGTAACTCGCTGGGACCTACATTAGAAGTCCTTTTGGATGGTGTCGAACGGCACTTGATCGTCGGGGGAGAGAAATGGCTCCGGGACATAGACCCGGCTGTTCTTGAAACCCCATCATCATTATACTCTGTTGCTAAACACAGAGTGTAGCATATAGAATATGATTTCAAAAATATATATGACACCTATTCACCTATACACCTAACATCGACAAACTCAATTAGTCATATTCTGTGGTTGCCGGCTAAATGAGGTTGTCATTTCTCATAAAACGTGTCATTTCTAAGCATTTTAATTAACTAATTACTTAACGCACAGTCAACTATATGCAGATGTCTAATGCTTTTAGATTCAATCATAACTTATTTGAAAAGTTCAATTTTTATACTTTTCTTTTTGAGCACATATGAATTTGATTATTTTATATAGTATTTTTTGCATATCAAAGTGCTTTACACACTTTACATAAATGCTGTAGATTGTACGGTAATCGAACGGGCATATTTAAAAATTTTAGTGGACATTTATTTTATATGCGATTGGATATTTATATATAAGATTTGTATGAGAGCAATTTAAATGATTAAATATTTATAAAATATAATTCTTACTTGTATTTTGATTTTCATGTATTTTATTTGCTGATGTTGGTGAGAATTTCTTTTTTCGTTTCTTTTGTGGTTTTAATTTTGGTGTCGTTTTAACTTGTATTGGTGGGCCTTCCAACTTGTGTCCCACAAGTACACACCAACCTACAGGATAAACATCAGGTGATTCACAATCTAACCATTGATCATATTCATCAGTCCAGCCATCAAAATGTATTTTAAGTAAACGTCCAACTATTCGGGATACAGTAGCGACACATACCAAACGTGGATCCATAAGATCGGCACACTCAAGGCTCATACCAACCTAATTAATGAAATACAGAAAAATAGTATTCACAAAATAATAATTTGTAACATTCTAATTACCTCAAACCCGTGGGCTGGTATAATACGATGAAATAAGTGTTGTCCAGCAGCTAAGCTGCATGTTTCATCCAAATATGTTTCCCAACTGAAAGTGTTTACATCATAACCGTTGGGTGGCGTAAGAGTAATGTTATTTGATTCACAAAAACCAACGGGAAATATGCTTGGTGATTTTTCATGGTAACAAAACCTAAATATAAAAAGCTTAAATTGTTAAAAGAAAATTTATTTTATAAAATTGCAGCACATACCAATCAGAACCGGAAGCGTCAGGTTGATAAGAGTCAATGCGTATCATTATGTAACCAAACTTTAAAACTGCCATAACAGTAGCGGCGCAAATCGACGAAAGATTTAAGGGATCTACCGCCTCCAGTTTCATACCTTCTACAAAACTATTCTTTCTTGATTCCGGATAATATTCTTCAAATGTGAAGTTCATTTTAAAAAGTTCTATTGTTGCATCGTCCTCATGCACTTCAATCATAGCTTCACGACCCGCTACATTAATTCAATGTTAAGGATAATTTTTTAAATTATCGCATGTGTAACTCACCCAGCATTCTTTCCAGATAATCCTGCGGCGCTGATAAATTATGTCCTACTGTTGTTGCCCATCCCACAGGATGAATGATAGGTGCATCTTCATGGCACCAAAATCCGTCTTCGGAATCAAAATAACGTAAAAACAACCGTTTGCCGACAATTTTAGTAACAGTAGCTAAACGCACTTGGGATATGCAATCCTTGTCCACACACTCGAGATTTAAACCGATACGAAAACGACATTGTATGCTGTCGTTCACTTTGTTATAAAAACTAGAAGGCAATGTACGTGCGCCTGATAATCGCCCTACCAAAAAATCGATCCAGTCTCCGTATTTGTTTTGAATACTGCGCGGCGGTATAAGTGGTTTACCACGTGTTGCACACCAGCCCACTGAATGGACTTCAGAATTACACAAATTAACCCAAAAATCGTTATCAGATTCGTCAAACCCTATTAAAAGTATAAATTAAATAATAAAAAATTTAACCTATTTGACAAAATGTTTTTGTAATCTTATAACGTAAGAGTTCACATTAGGTCACTATACAGAATAATTTCTTCTACGGCCCCCAATGTTACCTTCATAACGCATTAATGCTTTATATCCGCTTATATTTAATATAGTCGCCACCCAAAATGAATGAGGTGTTTGTCCTGGCTGTATAACTTCCAGGTTATCACAATCCGTATTTTCAACTTCAACTTTCATATCAACGTCTATATTATCCCACACCTCATACCCAGGTGCATGTGGAAAACATGATACTGGTGCCGCATAAAAATTCTCATCTAATAACCTTGGTGTCCAATCATACGAATGTGAAGGATCCCCATGACGGCGACGTATGCTAATTATCTTCTCTAATTGCGGGCATGTCGGAAGATGATGATCTATTTTTGGTATACCATTTTGCGGTAACATATCTGCAAACATTCGAAGCGACTTTGTTGTTGATATAGCCATTGTACCATCATCACTGTTAGCACCAAGAGATGAATCACTGCAACCGGTTGACGATCCTTTTATTTCACTTATGTTAGAATTCTCAACTGTCATGTCCGCTAGTATGTTAGTCATCACAGCTTCACTTAAACCGTTAATTTGCGCTAATTTTGAATGATCTGTAATTTTGAATCGATAATTAGAGTTGTTAGTGGTTGAAATGAGCACAGCGTATTCAATTTCGAAATCTGGTAGACCTTGGTTTGAATCCTGAGCCTCATTTAAGCCATCATTAGTGTGTTCATTTGCTAAAGTTGTCGTTGTTGACTGAGGCTGTTCCTGTTGGATCTGCTGTTGTTGTTGCTGCTGATTACCTGCCATCATTTTTCCATTAAGGACTAATGAATATAGCTCACCGCGAGCGCACGCCATACTGCAAAAACGTCTAGATTTGGTGTAAAATGTATGTTTTACGCCGATAGCACCACACCGTTCACATACAGCTAAAAACAGAGAAAATATATACTTATAGATCAAAACAATACAAAATGTAGTGGTGAATCTCTTACTACTAAATTTGTCGAATTTGAGAATATTGCTTTTCTTTTCTAAATATTTACTAATCTAAATTATCTAAAATAGGTAGATATTTATATTTGATTATACTGAAATATTTTAAGGTGATAGACAGTGAGACAAGAAAAAAAATTCAGCGAGATGTAAAAATAAGAGGAAAAAGGCTGTTAAAAAATAATTTTTTGATTTACCAAATAAAGGCATAAACGACACCACATATATGTGTAATAGTTTCAGTGATCTTCGACTTTTTGTTTCAAAATTTGTTTATTGCATCACCTTATTGAATGGTTACTAGTTTTGCTAATATTATTTAATTTTTGTAGTTGATTATTAAATTTCTACTAATCTTAAAAAACCTATGAATAGTTGACACTTAGTTCCAATAGTTCCTATTGCGTTAAAACTCAACATCAAATCTTCAAAGCTATTAACCGCAAAAAATCATGAAAAGTAAAGAATTATTTTAGAAGAATTCATCTTTAACTAATAAAATAATGGCTTTCGAAATAATTTCATAAAAGAATGTTTGTAGCAAAGCAGGTCAGTTACTTTCACATAGTTAGGTTATATAGTTTTTCATCGAATTCGGCTTTAACAACAATAACTTAACCCTGGCTGGACTTGAAATTTAAAAAAAAAAACCACCGTTCATAAATATCAGTACTATTGGTTTTATTTGAATTCTAACATGTTCAAACTGTACGGGGATTTTAAGGATGTCGGTTTGGATCAAATACTTCAATCTATATGGATATCCATTTGCATGAATACTTAAAATATCTGAACAGTAAGAACTATTGAATGTTGAAAAGTCTTTATTATTTATTATCTTTATATTACGTCAACTACTGTTCTGTTATAGGAACAGAGATCGAAAGAATTTCACAATGAATGTAATGAAATTACAAGTGCATTTCTAAAAGTGGATATTATAGCACGATCTAAGACGAAAGTATATTGGAAAAACATCAACATCTGTGACTAACAGAAAACAGAAAGAGAAAAAAATAATGAAAAAAATATGGCTTATGATATATGTTTTCTCTTTTTAGACTACCTACTGTAAAAAGATGCAATTTAAAATGCAATTAAATTATAATTTATATAAAAATGGTCGTATATGTCGTATAACAAGAAAATTATGTATGAATGTTTGCAAAGACGGTCAAAAATTTGACACCGGCAATAAACCCAATAGATGCTTCAAAAAACCAAAGATCGAGGATATTTTGCGGTATTTGAAACAACTGTACGGTCAGCTAAAAAAAATTACTAATTTAAAAATTATATTCTAACTATATACTAAAAGCATTTCTGTTCAAATAAATTAGTATACAATAAGTATAATACATTTTTCTGTGTTTGTTTGTATAATACTAAAAAAATAATAATATTAAAATTAAATACAAAAAATGATCTAACTAAAATGTATTAAATATATTAATTAATTAAAATAAAACAAAAATAAAAATAAAAACATACCCATTCCATCTTTTTGAATTGGTATAACGGAAGGGTCAATATTGCCCTTATATGCAATTGGTGTCTTCAACACCAGACCAGGTCTATTGACTGGTTCAATTTTACGTGTTTTGCGCTGGGTACGCTGTGTCCCAGTAGATGTAGTCGCTGACGTCGATGCTGCATTTGTTCGAATATCACTTGAAGATGCACTGCTTAGTTTCTGCTCATCAACAGGTATTAATAAATCATTATCATCAAGCGTTTTAGGTATATTTATAGTTTGAGTTGTTATATCTCTATCGGAGCTCATAAACTCTGTTCCATCATAAGAATTTGAATCAGTCATCATAACAAAATCATCAATATTTATTATTTCTTGTTTCGGTGTTAGGCCTGCTATGCCTTCATCATAATCGTCATCAATCTCATAAACTTGTTGTGTATCATCCGTTGATATATAATCTGTGCCAAGAGTATGTTCTTCATCTACATTGTGAGTCGCGGCCTCCTCATCGTCAATAATGCTGGCATAATTTTGAAAAACAGCTGCTGCTGATTGTTGCAATAATTGTTGATGGAGTCCGCCCATTTGCGCTAGACCATATATTTCATTCGAATTGGCAATCAGTGTTGGTTGAACTCCCAGCGCAGCTGCTGCAGCCGCAGATGAAGCAGCTGCTACAGCTGCTGCTGCCGCCTGACCACTATATTCCCCCCCAACAATGCTCATCATTGGATTTAAATCCTTTTTTCAGCGACACATATATTACAAAAGCAATTATTATTAACGCAATTTATTTTTTTTTACAATTTTTTGTTAATATTTAAATTAATTTAACAATAATTCAAAGCAATTTAACAAAATTCAAGTTAAAAACAACAAATTCATAAATATATAATTAATTATATTTTTATATTAGAAATTATTCAAAAATTATAATAATTTTCGCGAACAATATTTTTTATTTAATTTGTATTAATACAATTTAAATTTATTTTATATTTTTTTTGGGGAGGAGCAAATGATCAAAACAGCAAGAAAAAATAACATATGAAAAGAAAAAAGAATGAAAATTTAGAAATAAATGAGTGAAGAACTTAGAGTACAAAAAAATTAAATGTGTCGGTGAAAATTTTGTACGGCATTTTTATGAAAATAATTGATTGCTCAATTATTTAAATATTACAATGCGTCGATGGAACTGCATTTTACTGCATTTAATAGTTCCAAAAATTTTTTTTTGCATTACTTACCATTGTTGGTTGATGAGTTATATCATCCATTACCGACAACCCCACAGATGAATGCCCAAATAATGTTGCAGCATCCTCCAAGGAGATACGATCTGGATTGTAGTGGCTCATCCACATCATTCTCATTTCAGAGGGATTCATTTTATGCCTGAAATCTACTTTTTTGTTTATTTCTCATTTAGTCAGGAAATAAATATCAGCATTTGTTAAAGTTTCCACTTTGTTCAAACGTCAAACATGTTCCACATCTATTTAAAAGCAAAGAAAAAAATTAATTATTTTCATATTTATTTAGTATAAGCATTAAAACATTATCATTAATTTACAAAATAACAATAATATGTAACAATTTGTAATGAAATTTGGAAAAAAAACAATTTCATTTTGTGCAACCAAAAAGTCTAGTCAATCCTTAGAATACCCAAAAATATTAATCGGCGATTGTAAAAACGGAATTGATAGATCTTTTTTGGTCTAATCTAAATTACCGCTATAAAAAATATTTATCTAAAATTAAATACAGTAAGACTTCGTTCCAAAACGAAGTCGATAAAGTACATTCCAAAAAATCTTATTGTCAAACGAAACAGCTTTTAAAAACAACGTATTACCACGTAAACGAAAGTGATAAGTAAAAAGAAGTAGAAAACTAACTACGAAATTTTCACTGATGTCCCCTTTTTATACTAAATACAGTTTAAAATTATTCAAGCTTTTTTTATAATAATCGTTTAAATTCAGATAGAACTCAATTTCTGAGCTTCTTCATTTCGTCGATCATATTGTTTCTGGAGTGGATAACTTCTGTCGCAGATGTTGTGGTAGTTGAAGTTGCTAATGATAGGATTTTTTTAACATCAATATTGTTGAAGCTCACAAATAAAATGCAGTGCTGATATAAGATTATAAATTATAAGTAAAATTACAAAAATTTTTGTTTTTTAAATAACATTCATAGTAATAATGCTTTCACTAAATAACGAATGTTGCATATAGAATGCATTTCCTTATTTAACTTCTCATTTTGGAAGTTTTTCTTATTAAGGTCGCTAATTAGAATAATTTACCATACAAAGAAATTTCATACAAATGAGCTCATTATAAAAAAATCAACTAATTTAAGGCGAAAAACTCTTAAAAACAAATTTTTCACAAGTGATATTATAAAAATTTTAAACTTTGTCTTATTGTTATCCTACACAGCACCTCTTCACTTACCGGTTGCCTAATCCATATCCTAACCCATATATTCGTAATTTATTTTTTTATTCCATTGATGTTTTCTTAAAGAGGTTTTTTGAAGAGTAGTGAACTACAACAACAAAAATTCATTTTATTGAATTTTAATTAATCAAATTTTTGGCTGACCATACAACTGTTTCGAGTATTGCCAAATAAACATCATCTTGGAAATAATTTTTGTATTTAATTATTCGTAAATAATTTTTTGAGACTGCAAGTATCAAGAATCAAACTCGTGTCCTGCCAAATTTGAAGCTCAGAGTCAGCGCACCTTAACCAACTGACCCAAAGCCGTACTTGACTTTTATGTTCGCACATTTTTCTGGAGTTTTGGTAATTTACTATCAAAGTTTTATTAACAAATCCACTTGCTATGTTTATATTAGAACGATATCATAAACTAGCTATAGAATAATTAAATTAATCATATTTTCATTTTTAATTGTTAAATTTCAATACTATTCTATTTGTACAGGCATTATTTTACGTTTTCTGTAATAAATATCTACTTGAACTACTTGAACTTGGTCATGTGAATCAATATACTTGATCATGTGAAATCATGTGAATCAATATACAACAATTATACTGAAAGTATCCTATCCATGTTACAAGTAGAAGCATTGTGTGAAACAAAACTAAACAAATAAATTTTTTTTTTACAGTAATTTAATTTTATCAAAATTATGACGTATATTTATCTTATAAAATATATTGCTAAATTTATTATTTTGAACGATTTTTCACAAATAAATTGATATACTTCGCATATCATCCGAACTATCTCGTTAAATAATGCGAAAATATTATTGGGAATATAAAATTATACTATTTATACTATTCAGGGATAAATTGTGCTTTTAAAGTCTGACAACTATATAGTTAGAAAGGTATTTTGAATGTAGTGAAAATCTGACATTTTCGAAGCAGTGAAATATATTGTCGTTTCGAAATAACGAAATTTACGTTACATCGAGAATCTATTGTATTACACGAAAATTGAAACGAAACATAAAATACTCTACAAAAGTGTACTGTTTCTGGAAAATGTTTATTATCGAACCAAAATTTAGAAAAAGATGTTAATGCTTTAAGTTATTATGTATTTTTGAGTAGAGAAATTGAATTTGAATATATTAAGTTAAAAATCGGTGTCTTCCATCTCTCGAGACTTAAGGCGATTGCCTATTGATAACTTGATTGAGATAGAACTGTGCGATGAAAGAAGATACTTTTTTGTTGTAAACCGCAAATACTCCTTGCCTATACTTGACTCCACTGATACTATCAGCATGTCCATGTATTTATTCTCGAAGAAATGATTCTTCTGACGCAACAATACAATCTAGCTTCAATAATTTTGAAGAATCTCTTTTAGATAACAAATTTCAACTTTATGCCTATGTCAAACGAATGAAAATTTTAATAGTACGACTAAATATTGTGGGAGCGAAAATAGTAGGCGTTCTGTAACGTTCTGATCGAATTCAACAAATGCAACCATGAAAAGAACATCGAGAACGACAATGAAGGCAACACAACTAAAAGTAGTAGTTGAAATCGATACGCCAAACAAAGCAGTTGGAAGTAAGTCGTTTAATTTTTAACTTTAATTTCAATAAAACGAAACTTTATAATAGTTTCATAACACTTTACGATATTAATAGCTATTAAAACTTGAAAAATGAAAAAGTTTATATGGATCTAATTTGAAATAAAGATTGCGCGTGCAAGAATTTGTAATTTCTAATCTTGAAAATTAAATCAAGATAAACGATGACAAAAAAATTAAGAACTTTCATTGTATTTATTGTACAGATAATTATATTCAATCATTTATATTTGTTTTTGTTTTTAAATAAAATAACAGTTAGGACAAAAAGGACATTCTAACTACTCAAAACCAGCTGTCCGGACAGACAGACTCGTATAGACGATGAGGAAAATCTGGAAAAGATTCAAATAATCCAACGTTACTTGAATTATTAATTTGACAAAATCATGAAAACTGAAACATGAAAACTTCAAATTTTCATAATTGCAATTGTTAACTACATTGTAAGATTAACTACAAAGACCTCCAATTTTTTCATTCCATTAAAGTATCAACTAGAAAAAAAATTATTTATTAATATAAATAAACACATTTTCTATAAAACATACGATTACTTCCTTGGTTTAATCTATTGATAGTAATAAGACTTCTTCATTTCAAACGTTCGCATATCGTTGTTGTCGTCAACAACATTTGAAAGTCAACATCAACATGAGAGGACACCGGAAATAAACATCAATTTTTTTATTTCTCTCCTACCTTATATTTATGAAATATTAAGAACTTTATTACCGAATGCATATTTATAACACATTTACCATATATACCTAAAAAAACTTCTAATATATTAATCAAAACCCACTGTAACTGTGTAGTTTCAGTGCGTTTTATAAACGCTTTACGCTATAACTAATGTGTACCACAAGCGTAGTACGTACTAACACCCGCAGAGACAATGCACAGAAGTCGCAGTTTTTTATATTTTATTTGTGATGTACTTTTAATTACTCACCGAAAATAACAACAAACACTATTTATCTTTCATTATTAGCACAAATTATTAAACACTGTAAGCTTTTAATTAATTTATTCTTTTAATATGTAGCCGTTTACAAAATATTTTATCAGAAATATGTTTAGTACATAACAATTGCTAAATGTGAACGGCAGTGAATAAATTGGCATTGCAAGTAAAAGAAAGCCAAAGATATTAATCATTGTTGCTATTTCATTTTCACAGCGAAGTTTTGTGGCGGCAAAATGCAGGGTTGTATAAAGCATTCATTCATCAAATGATATATCCATAAAATTGCTGTAACAATAGGAGTATGCAGAAACGCTCATTAACTCGGATATATTCAATTTAATATGCTTGAAAAAATAAAATATATAAAAGTAACAAATTAAATAAAAGAACAAATTTTATTTTAATTTTCATTGCCTTTTTTATTGGTATTTTGTTCCTTGTATTTTGCACAAAGTAAACAAAACAAAGCTGTTTGTAAATAAAAATTCAGGCGAAATTGAAGAGTTTCACAATTCTCAAAATTCTAAAAATATTTTAAAAATATTCAAATATTTAAGGCATTAAATATATGAAAAGAGTTTTATTAAAAACATTTGTTTTTTTTTTAACTTCTTAGATACAAATAAGTTTATGCTTATTAAGGCATAAATGTTTTTAATTGCAATTAATTTTATTGTAAAATGAAATTTCAGAATTTCCTGCATTAGCCACGATATTTTCTTTCAGAGTAGGAAAAAAATAACATTAAGCCTTTTCGGTGGCTCGCAAGTACGGCAAAAAACAACAAATTGCTGGCCTATACTGGCCGAAATATATGCAAAACAACAACACTATTTTCTGTACTTCGGCCAGTATAGGTATACTAGCCACACTCATCGTGAACCTTCATTGGAAATTCCAAGGAATACTGCAATCATTGAATAAAAATTAAATAAAAAAAAGTTGAAAACTGGGAAAAAAGCAAAAGATTGAAAAATGTATAAAATCTTAAAACTTAACAAAGAAATAATAAGAATGTAGAAATCGTAAGTATAAAGCACATTGAATTTTTTATTATGTTAAATATTACTAAGTAACATTTATTTTATTTCATTTAATTTATAGCTTACAAACGTAAACTTAATAAAACAAACTTAATTTTTGGTGTTTTTCTAAAAAATTTTTTTATAAAAATACACGCAAACTGTGAACCACAGAGAAAACGAAGTTTTTTCTAGAGCGCTACTTAACACGAAAGAAAGAATTTCTGGAAACAAGAAAAAAAAGACTTGGATACCAACATGTACTTGAGGAGATGATATTACATGAAAGTGCAGTAAATATCACATAATTTCTGTAATCATTTGAAATGAAAAATGAATTAAAATAATATATATATGTTTAGAATTTGCTTAGAAAGAAAAATGCGCGCACTTATAAGTGCATTTAAAGATAACAACAGGCGGACTGGTGCATCGCCATGCTTACTACCCTACATGGAGTTGATGAACGAAATATTTGGTGATAAAGCAATTATTTAAAGTAATCACACTGCAACGTTAGGGTTTGACACTGATATATAAAGAAGATATAGAGGTGTTGGAAGAGTTAGAAATAAACATTGTACAAACACAATGCAGGAATAGCTAATGCAGGAATTGCCACAACTTTCAACTTCATTATTTAACCTCAAAAGAAAATCTATGCATCAAGAATATTATGAAAACAAGTTATTTGCTAAGAAATGGATAGGGGAAGAGAAAATAAAATTTTTTAAACAAACTATGAATGAATTGAAGGAAAACATAAAAAAGAAATGGTAGCATGAATTGAAATTAGAGGAAAGGAAATTGATATTGGAGGAAAATAAATTTATATTACTTGAAAAACTTACGGAAAAAATGTTAATATATTTATATAAATTTTAGAAAAACGTTATGTATAAGTTAAAAAACCTTAATTATGATATGAAATAAATTGATATAATATTTTTATTTTAATTAAAAATATTCATTTTATGTAATATATATATTTAAGTTTAGTATTTCTTTAATACAGAATTAAATTTGTACTATTTATTTTATTTTATCAAAAACTTAGTAATAGTTTTCACTGTTGGCCATGCCGTAGAGACTGAGACTCCAAAGAGATTTCCTGATTGTCTATAAGCTATTGTATTACCATCATACCAAAGATATATATAGACATCCTTTTTGCGGCTTACACGTTTAATACCAACATAATCTGTATTAGACAAATGAGTTTGGCCGCACTAAAACTAAATATTTATTGTATGTCTATATCCAATTTAAATGAAATTGAAATAAGTTACTAAGTAAATAAATGCTACTTTCTTTCACATTCATAATTCTTATTATAAACTTGCACTTAACATGTACTTTATGTTTCATAATTAAAAAAGTTCATTTTTAAATATTACAAAAACATTTACGTATTTTTTTAACTTCAGATATAAAAATAGTTTCTTTCATTTAGTTAATTAAGAAAATGAATTTGTTTTTATTGTGGAAACTTGTTCTTTACATATAATATGAATATTTTCACAAGAATGTCTACGATTTGATAATAAACGTTTTCGGTGTCTCGCAAGTGTGGCAAAAAACGTATTCTGGCCTATATTCGCTAAGCGAAACATTAGCATCAAGGGACAGTATATTTATGAAATAGTTCGCTAAGAAATACAAGTCGAAAGTATTGCCATTATTAATTTTGTGATCTTGTAATTTTGTAAATTTTATAAGGGATATCCCTAAAATCTTCATTCTTTATTATTTTATTCTACTGTTTCAGTTACAATATATTTATTTTGGTATAATGTAAAACAATCTGTACTTTTACTCTATCCATTTTTAAAATGTTTAAAATCAAGATTTTTGCTTACCGCTTAACAGCTGACTGATTGACAACTACCTTAAAAGTTTTTTTAATTCTTATGCGGAAACGCACTAAAAACTAATTTTAAAATCAGTTTTAAAACTGATTTTAAGCCTCGCGTAAACGTAGCATAATATGTATTCCAAATCGAACGTAACAATATTCTACATTACACTGAAATGTATACGTGTGGGCCGCTTTATAAATTTTATGTCAGAACTGTCAAAATGTAAAAAATGTTTGCGAGTTAGGTACATTACTTTATTTGTACTGTCAGTCTTTAAGCCGAAAGTTGTGTTTTTAGAGACATAGGTACAGTTTTTGCAAGTTCCTTGCAATCTGTTTACAAATTGTTAAACTTATAGTAATTTTTATTAAAATGCCTACTGTAATTGTATTAGATTTATCACTTTCGATGCAATGTAGTATACCTGGAAGAAGTGAAGAAAATATATTAACATATCATCAATTAGCTTCTAAAGCTATATCTCAGTTGCTTGAATACTTAACAAACAACTCGAAACTTGAACATGTAGCTTTAGTTTGTTTTTCTGCAGTTGCTGAATTAAAAGTTGACTTTACTCGTGACTATGAGTTAATACGTCAGGCAGTCAAAAAAGTAGAGATCGCAACAAAGTCCAATGCATTGGGATTGCTGCAGTTTCTTGGTCCGCTTATACAGAACAATTGGGGATTACAAAACTATTGCCATATTGTTTTGTTCACTGACTGCCCTATTGGTTTTCCAGATAATTTATTGCAAAATTATATTCAACTTAAAAGTAAAACCGATAAAAAAGATCCGTGGATGGAAATGTTGCAGAAGACTAAAATTAATTTAGTTGGAATGGGTGTTAGCAGTAATAAAAAATTTATGCACTCGTTGGATGTTTACAAAAAGCTATTTGAAGTTTGTAATTTAAAATGTAAATATGTTACTTTTATGAAAATATCTGTTATTGTATTTATTATTTCTCATAGTTCAAATTTTTACTCCCAAACACACTAAAGACTTAAACAAAGATGAGTGTGATCCAAAAGTTAGTCGCACCAGCTCTCAACCTTTTGGAACAAATTTGCCGCATACAAGTCATAAGAGTGAGCTGGGACGCACATCAATGTTCGAGATGATAGATCGTCTTTGCGAAATAAATTTCAGACCCATGGAAGCACTGTTAAAATGTGGTGGTTATTTTCGTCTGGAATGCCCTGTAACGTTGTGGCCACCATTTCCCTCTTATTATGGCATTGACATTGATCGTCATTTATCGCATAAATTAGAAGTATGTGGCTATTTATCACTTTTAGAAATTGGTTCACCTGCATCAGTGAGCCGTCACGTAATATTACCAAAATTAGATAAACGTCGAGACAAACTTGTTTTGTTTAAAGGCAAATATGAATTCCCACCGCCACTAAATGATCTTGAAGGACTTGAAAATGATATGCGTAACTTTTACTTAAAAGATGATGATTGCATTGATGATGCGGAAGCATTCAAATTGGGTGCACCTAATTTATCTCCACCGACTGAAAAGGAATCTTTGATTGTTTTATTACATAATGCGCTAAAATCGGAGAATCTAGGTGCTCTTGTCTTACTCAATAATAATTGGTACGGTTTTATATTTGCCTGCTCTGATAGTAAGAAAAAGTCTAGCTTGTTGTTAAATGTATTACCACCAGGAAATAATGTTATTCCATGGCTTGGTGATCTACGATCGCTATGTATTAGCGATGATCCACAAACGAATGAAGCAACCTGTTCATATTCTGCGAAATCTGAAAAACGTTCATATTCGCAAAATTGTGTGGTTTGGATTCGACAATCAAGCTTACATTCGGACGTGCAAAAAGTGTTACGACATGCTAAGAAAATGCCTGAAAAGACGCAACATTTCTTCAAGGAACTTAATCGTATACGTCGTGCTGCATTATCTTTTGGATTTATTGAACTGCTTGAAGCAATGGCATTGCTATTTGAAAAGGAATGTGAACAGATACCAGTCAATACAAATCCTGAATGTGTGATCCAATTGAAACACGCAGCAGCTGAGCTTCGTAAACCTGCTAATCTTGACTTAAAAATAACTATTTTTCCAGCAGCGACTCTCGCTGAAGTCAATGCAATTAATTCGAACGCTTTGACTGTAAATGCTGGAGCAGTGACTAGTAACTTTGTATTCAGGGATGGATCTTAAAGGTTGAGTCTTTATTGAAAACTGTCAACACTTATCTAATATCTAATAAGTATACATGTAATTTGATATTTATATATATATATATTATATGTACATGTAATTTAAAATTTATATACATATATAATATAAGTCGAAACACATTTTCCAACAAAATCACAACAAATCACGTGAAAGACAAAACTGAGAATTGGTAACAATGTAAACTAACGTTAGACATTTGCAGAATACTGTATTTCGTTCAAGATTATTAAATATTATGTGTCTGTTTGTAATGAATATACATCCAATTTGTTATGAGTAAATTTGTCGTTTACAACTGCAAGAAACTTAATTTTTCCACAAAGCCAAGCTATGCAAGTGAAGATGGTAACTTGTGTATAAAAAAACTGAGCTGATTGGACTTTATTTGGGAAAAACATGTCTGTTAAAATATAACAACTCGAACTTATTATTTCATGTATGATCACTTATATTTTGTTAGTGTAGTCACCAATCAAACTAATATCGCACAACATATTTTACTTAGGCAAAACCAACTCTGATATTAGAGCAAATGCATACATAGCTTCTAGTTCATACTTAAGAAGGGGAGTAGACACAATACTTGATCAGTACTCAGAACAGTTCATAAAAATCAAAATTTTTGATATAGATCGTCTTTTACTAAAAAATCCTTCGAATGACCTCTACAAAAAGTGCATTTTGCATTTTGAAATTTTTAAGAAAATATTTGATACGTATTGTTATGTAAATGGCATTAAAAAAATCATAATGAACAGTATAGAAGAAGAAATAAGCCGATGTGCGGTAGTCACTGCGAAATTTTGTTAAACTTTTTAATAAAAGTGACAACTAAAATGTTGCTAGGATAGTTCAAAAATTAACAACAAACTAAGAAAATTGTGGAAATATTAGTCTAATAATATTTATGAATGATGCTTACTTATCATATAATAGGCAAACCTCATATTTTTGTATGAATACAGTATAATATTTCAGCAAATAGTTTGTTTCAACGTTCAAATAGTTTGGAAGAACTTGTGCATTTCATGCACACAAAGCCAGCCATATATTTTAAGAAAAAAAAAACACTTCTTTCTTACGAATGAACTAAGCTATGTTTGCATTTGCTCTAATATTAGAGTTGGTTTTGCCTAACCACAATGTGTTGTGTGTGATATTGGTTTGATTGGTGACTACACTAACAAAATATTAGTGATCATACATGAAATGATAAGTTCGAGTTGTTATATTTGAATAGACGTGTTGTTCCCATTGCGTTACCTTTTCAGAATTCATGATTTTTTTAACAGAGGCAAATTATATGTCTATATTTTTGATCATATGTTCGGTCACTATCATCAGTACTTCTTTTTTTAGTACTTGCAATTGCTTTTATAGTTGAATCCGTCATATATAAAACCTTTATTTAGAACAAAAAAATATATAAAAAATAAATGCATAAACAGTCAAAAACAAAGCAAATATGTGAAAAAAAATTTCGGTTTTGGTAAACCGAAACATAAACAACACAACCATTTTAAAAAACAAATGTATTAAAAATGTAAGCAGTGAATTATAAACATATATAGAAAAATTAATGATGGAATATTTAAACTTAATGAGTATTAATAGTAAAAAATATGTAACATATTTAATTAAAGATGCGCGAGACTTATATACGATTAAAATCATCGTAGGATCCTTTGAAAGAAATATTAAGATTTAGAAAATTTTAATACTAGTCTAGTTAATACTAGTTTCTTTTTACTTACGTATAAAAATTTATTTGAAGCTAGTTGTTGTTGTTGGACCCCACAGAATTCTAAAAAGCAGATAACATGAAAGGAATTACATGATGAATACAAGGGTTAGGATATGGTTTGATGAGAATGATAGGGACTACTAGAGAGTGGGGTGGATTGGGGATGGGGGTTCCAAGTACCCGGCAGCTCTACGTCCCGACCACTCGTCAATTTCGACGACCAAGTATCGTTCGCCAGACCTCAAAGGAATTTTACAAGTAGATAAGTATTTTTATGGCATTTGGCGTCTATATGATTATGTAGTTAGTAGTTTTCGTTCATTACTAATATTTGGTTTTTAAAAAAATCAAGTCATTATATGACTGTAAAGCAAATATTATCTCTTAGCTCACTTTAAAATATCTAATATTTAAAATAGTAAAAATGCAATTATTGGTCACATGTGTTTGTTTATAAATAAAACAAAATTTGGAGGGTAAATAAAATGTTAGGCGACTGTCGAATCAATAAATGTAGAGCACATTTATAATTTGCAAGTCTCAAATAGTAAGCTTAATTATTATCGGTGGAACAATACGACGAAAAAATTCAATAGAATCATTACTGCCAACCTTTTCTAGCCAATACTTTTGCATTTCCTGAGATACACTGTTTTCCATTGATGATGTAATGAATGTGATAAAACAAGCCACGGCTTCGATGGCTGACAGCATTTTATTGCTATACTTAACCTTTTCGGAGTTCTTCATCTTCATCCAGTTTGGAAATCTTAATTAACTGTCACATTATATGAAAGGTTTAAATACCTTGAAAAATAATTTTTCTTGTAAACCGATCTCTTGGCTATCTCCAGTAGTCAAAGGTTAACTCTACCATTTTCCATGGTTAAATTCAGAATATTCACAACCTTAAACAAGAAATAATGGATGCCATTCTTGATTATATGCTCAAATACTCTGCGTTATGTGGTTGATTTAAATCTCGTACTAATATGCTGAAAGCACTATCAGGCTGTTCTTGGAATGAGATAAATATACTGTTATATATACATAGCAATAAACTGTGGTAACCATTGTAACCAATGCTGCTTCAGTATGGACCTCAAAGCTCTGCGAGACGTAATGTAACAATAAATCAGTAAGTCAAAACTCAGCTCTTCAACGATACCGCTTGCTATCATATGGTGTTTGTAACATACATGCATCATATTCTCTCGACTCTCATAATATTTTCTATAATAGAGCAAATTCAGCTGCTGTCTAAGCAATTCCTTACCTCTATTTGAAGCCTTTAAAGTGCAGCGAGAACTGTTCTTACCCAATTGTGGTTAGTATGTAGTCACGCGCTAAATAAATACTTATCATATATATTTATGTCAATTCACAATGTGTGGCCCAAAAGTTCTTATTCTATGTCTCATTGAATTTGCTAGATTCCTTCACCTTGATCCAAGCTACTTTTAATTAACATCTTAACACCCCTTACCTCTCGCTAAACTCTATTCCAACTCCTATATGAGTCGTTCTTTCACAGATCGAATACGTTTTTGACTTCATCATCTTCGATTTGACTTAGTTTTTTATAAGTTTCTTTCATAAAATAAGAAGACCCGTATCTCAGAAAAAAATTTTGTGAGTTTCGTAGAGGATATGGACCCATGGGGTTTGAGAATTGACATTGTAGACACATTTTCAAATGGGTATATAAATGATAGAAACTTGAAATATGTTGTGTTTTAAAGATGATTGATTGAACTTTCAGTAAGTTGTTTGAACAATTAAGATTGTTTATATTTAAGTACTTATATGAACAGTTAAATTTCAAAAGAAATTTTTTTTCATATGCATCCCCAGAATTTTCATTTTTTATATTTTTTCTAGATTGTTTTAAATTTTACTGAAAAATAAAAATTTTCAAGATGACATTATTTTTTGAAATTTTTTAATATTTTTTCTCCCGCAAAACACATCAACCAGATGCGTACTATATTTCCATTGAATGAATTTTAAAAAAATTTATGACAAATATTCTTATACAATATTTTTGATTTCGATTAGTAATAAATTGCTACATAAAATTCAAACACTTTAGGAGGATATTGTTATTAGAAATGCTTTTAAAAAATTAATTTATTCTTCACATCACACCAAACACATACACACGATTTTTCAGTAAAAAAAAAAGAGGAATATGTCACATAAATTTTTCTTTTTTAGTTTTGATTTAGATCAACAAATAAATTTTTCTTAAAAAGTAAATATTTCCAGTGTGGCATTGCTTTTAGAAGTAACTAAAAAAAATTAATTTATCAGGAGTCACTCATACGCACCACTTAAATCAATTTCCCCAAAAAAACGACATAAAAATGTTAACTTTTTAATTATATTATTTCTATAGATAGCAATGCCTGCGTATGACATTGCTAGAATTGAATTATTTGACATAGAAAGATTTCAACAACTATATGTATAATGCCAAAAATATTCCTATGACCATGAGCCAAAAGTAGAAAAATGTTGAACTGCGTCGATATCACATTCAGAGATGTGTTGCATCCAAAAAACGCTGTACCACTAATAGAGTCCAGCCCATTTTAAAACTTCTTTATAAGAAAACCAACGTTAAACTTAGGCCATCATATAAAAGAAAAAGAACTCCAATAACTACATATAATACCTTTTAATATTTTTTAACAGTGCTATACTTTTATGTTAAACTGTGAAATATTACCAAGCTTTCCAAACTTTTTTTTTGTAAATACTTTGTGTCGTACATTTTTATAGTGTTTTCTTGAACAGACCTAGAAATAATAATATAGATAGCCTTTGTAGAAAATATAGTATTTTAATATATTACTTTTTTACTTCAGATGAAAGAAAGAGAACAAATCAATTTTTTATTTCTTTTTATTTGATTTTTCTCTGTTTCTATATACTTAACTTTCTTTTCGGTTTGATTCTGTCTGCTATTCCATATTGAATATAGATAATTATTCTTTTTTAATATCATTCATTTTTCGTAATTATTTTTCAAATATATATTTTAAATATTTATTTCTTATATATATTTATAATTTCATAAAACTGAAGCAGAAGACGTCGTGAAAGGAGTTTTAGATTTTAGATTAAAAGGAAGTTAAGTGATTTCTCATTCGAGTTTGTTTTTGTTTGCATAGTTTTAATATATTATAATAATAATTTATATTATTTAAATTGAATTTTTCTTTTCTTCAAATTATAAATATATTTTAACAATATATAATATATTTTATGTGCCAAGTAATGGTATTCATTTTTAAAATAATTATTTGTCAAATATTTTTAATGGAAAATATACAAAAATATATTATTACGAATATGCATTTAATAAAAATTCCAAATTGATACTGTTAGGAATAACATAATATTATATTGTCAAAAATTTTAAAATACATAATTAGAATAGTTAAATCTTATTTTAAACTTTCTATACAGGACCCATTCGTGCAAGTCTCTAGAATGCATTTAAAACAATTAAACTTGAATAAATTTTGTAAATACATTTATAATTTAAATATCGCGAAATAAAATATTTCAACGCAAAATAAAATATTTAAAAGTTGCTAACTTAATACAATATATAAGACCGAAATTTTATAAGAGTCAAACATATAACTGGGTTTATATATTCCAAACATCACATGTCCTACTGGACCTTTGAAAGAAACAATATAATATGAATTTTAAAAATGTATTAGCGTATATATCCATACTAATTATATATACTAAAACGATTATAATTTTCGTTATAATTGAGCATTTCAACATTCCATTACACTTGAACATAACACATGATTATGATATTTTTTTTTATCTTTCTAATAAAAATCATAAAATCATCATTTACAAAAATGGCGTACTGCAGTTTCTTGATTCCTTTAAGGAAAGTGTTTTTTGTTTTTGCTTCTGGATAGTCTACTTTCAGTAAGGCATAACAGATGTGTATTTACATCTGTGGAAGAAATTATAAAGTAATATTGTAGCAACTATTCATTCGTAAACTAGGAACAAAGGGTTAAGTAACAGTGTTATCAATCTTGTCTGGAAACTATATCTTGGTAGATAAATAACAACTAAACACTGAACAAAAATTAGAGAGCTACAGTTAAAAATATATACTTCAGTGATTCTAAATCTAAACATAAGCGTCTTCTAAATAGTGAAGTAAAGCTTGTTTAGTTCCAAACAAGCTTTACTAAAACAAAAAACTTTTCTTCTCAATTTAGTACAAATGCAATGCAGCTTATTGAATGGAACTGTTTTGCTTAAACAGATTATAAAAAATAATTGAATAGGAATGTTTTTATTAATTTAAATAAATAAATTAAACTAAAATTATAATATTTTTTTTTTGTTTTAGTTTTGTTAAACATTGACTAAGTAATGTTAAACATTGAGTAAGTAAGTAAGTAAATAAGTAAGCCATAACTGCGATAAGGCAAAAAGTAATAAAGTGGGCATTCAAATTCCTAAAAATATCATAAAGCATAATGATATGGTAATTAAAATTTTTAAACAATGAATTTTAAATAATAAAAATAAAAACCAAAAATAATATTAAATAAATAATATTTACAAAAATTTTGGATGAAATAATTTAATAATATATTAAAAAAATTAGTTGATTTTAAAATATTATTAATTATTAACGTTAAAATAATTAACGTTAATTAATTATTAATAATGACATAAGAATTAACGAATAAAGCAAAAAAAAAAAATTATAAATATATAAATTTATTTAAAACATTATTTCTAAAGAAAAATAATAAATTAAAAAATAATAAATTAAAAAATAATAAATTAAAAAATAATAAATTAAAAAATAATAAATTAAAAAATAATAAATTAAAAGAAAATAAATTAATTCAAAAAATATTAAAATAAAATTAAATCAAAAAAAAAGATAAATTAAAAAAATATATAAATTAAAAAAAATATAAATTTTAAAAAAAATTATTATAAGAAAAAAATTATTATAGGAAAAAATAATTATTGGAAAAAATAGTTATAAAAAAAACGAAAACATATTAATTATAAAAAAAATACTTGAAAAAAAAAATATTAAATTAAACAAAAAAAATAATTTCAAAAAAAACAAACAAATTGCAAAAAAAATAATTGTAACCAAAATATTAAATATAAAAAAAATAACAATTATAAAAAAATAATAATAGTCACAAAAAAATAGTAACAATAATAATTTATTATTCCTTATTTTGGAATTGGGAAACTTATACATGGTTATTTCATTGATCTGATCAAAATTTTACTTTTATTTTTAGAGTTTAATCTTACATTTTTCTTTCGATTTTCAATTTTTTTTCATTATTAAAAACATTTGACTTATATCTTGTATTTTTTAATTTACTTACTAATAAAATAAATTCAAAATTATCAAGCATTGTGAGTTTAACTTTTTTCATAATTTAATTTTATCTTAAAATAAATTTCATTTTAATAAAAAAGTTATATATTATAATGTAATATATAATAATAAAAATAATAATAATTTTATTTTATTTAAATTTAAAATAATGTTAAGATTATAATTCTAAATTAATATTTTTATTTTTATAATTTTATATTTTTAAAATAGCATATTCGTTTTAATATATTTTAACTTTTTTCTGAAGTTTGAAGTAAATTATTTTTTAATTTATTAACAAAAAAATATAATTTTATATATGGAATTCAATAGTAAATAACAAAAATTTAAAGTTTAAAAATTTCATCGCAAATGAAAATTATGCTTATCTTTTTATTTCATCATATAAATTTTATATATAATAAATTTTTATATATATTGTGCAATTTAGCTCTTAGGTAGAAACGTTATATACTTTTGGTTTTTTTTTTAATTTAAAGTTGTTTATCTTTAATTTTCGTACTTAATTTTAAATTTGGAAATATATGTATATATATATTGTTTTTTTTCAATACAATAAGAAGTAAAATAATAAGAAATAACTAATTAAAATTTGTGTGAAAAAATTGATTTTCAAAAAGTAGGTGTAATCAACATTTTTAATATAAATATACTTTTTGGTTTTCAGTGTTATATATTTTTATGAAATTATTCGATTTTCATTTGATCTTTGTAAAAGCACTTATAGCAAAAAATTTTTAAAATACATTATGTTTTTTCTTTTTTATTTTTAATTTTTATTATTCAATACAGTGTTTTTATATAATTTATAATAATATTTTAAAAGTTCAGCTGCGTGGTCTACTATAAAACTTTGATGTCTTATAAGAAAATATTTTTTTCATGTCTATGTTTTATTATTAATTTTTTTAATTAAACAAGTTTTTAATTATAATAATTAAATCTTTTATAAAAGCCGTCCTGTGCCAGTTTCAGTTCCAAAGAAAGTTTTACATATTTGAGTAAGAAAAAAATATATATTTTTCGTACATCGAATTTTTTACAGCATTTTTAATAAACCACCAATATTGTTTTTTTTTTCTATATATATTTGTTTATATTGATTTCAGTTGCTGTAACTGCTATACTAAATAAAGTTATTTGCCATCAATTTTTTATGCGACGTATTGTATATACTTTTTATAATCTATATAATATTTCATTTTTTATATGCGTGTTTAGCATAGTTAAATAAAGTGATTTTATTAAATTTATAAATTAAACTTCATAATTAGTTACTCTGTTCAGTTCTCCCTCCCTCTCCCATGGCTATCTTATTCATTTAATAAAAATCACACCTCTCCCCTATGCATTAGTTTATTTCATCTTCTTCTTGCTCTTGGTCGGTTTTAGTATTTGCATCGATTGTTATTATAGTTTCTTTGCCGATATCACATTTTTCAGTAAATATAGCTTCGATGTCTTTATCATTACATCCCAACTCATCATTTTTTATTATTGGAACTGCAACTGTTTCATTTTCATCGGTTTTCTCCGATTCACCATTTGTTATTTTAGTCCCATTAGTTTCCAAGTTGGGAGTCATTTTGACACGGCAAGTTTCATAGGCTTTCTCAAAACCTAGTTTTGTATAAAGATTTCGGGAAGCATCATTTTGAGGACGTATGACAACAAATGGTGTATAACCACGTTCAATCACAAGCTTTGTTAGAGCAGTAGCTAAGCGTATACCGTAACTGAAAATATACATAAAAAATTATCATTATCTGTTTGATTTTTTAGCATTTAAATTAAAAACACACCTAAATCACATTATACAATAATACTTTTTTTTATTATTACATTAAATCAAAAAAACAAGTGAACAAAATGGAAGATAAATTATAATTTTAAATTTATTCATTACATATTTAATTTTTCTATGGTTGATCACAGACCTGTAAATTTGTGCAAGACCCTCTGTGTCTTTTTGTAGTGCAGTCTCTGATTGTCCGGAATATCAATTATGTGTAATATTTTAAGAATTAGTCTACGTCTATAATTTGGCTCTATATTAATGATCTGTACTTCTTCAAAATTTGGAGTATGGTTCATCATAGAACAATGGGTCGCTAATGTTGTCTTTTGATCATTGGGAGTTGATCTGCTCTTTATGTGATGTTTGTGACCATCGATTCTTGTCCTACCAACATATACCTGCTGGCATATGTTAGACCCGTCATCTCCACATGAAATTTTGTATTTGACATCATGCTCATCTAATTTGTCCACTGGACTAGTTGTTTTGTTAAAAAAAATTATTTTTAAGTGTGTTTCTGGCTTTGAAAGATAATGTATGCATGTCTTCATTACAGCATTTGGATTTGCTGAAATTTTCCGAAAACCCAGGGATATACGACATGGGAAGATAAATTTTTGGTTGGGGATCGGATTTGGTTCTACGCACTGTATTCCATGAGAAAATTTTTCTTGAGAAATGATGGGGTTGAAATTCCACCACCTAGCTATAACAAAGTTCGTGTTGCTATACAGCATGTTACTATATATTAAAGAACAACAAAGCGACAGGAGCAGATGATTACCTGCAAATTTGTTCAAAGCCGTGGCGATATGATCATTAATGTGGGGATCATGCATCAGACTATTTTCAAAATATAATTGGATGAAAGTATGCCTAACAATTGAATCTCAGTACCCTTTGTCCTGTTATTAAAAACTCAAACGAAGTTTGAGTTGCAACATTGCTATTATAACTGTTTATTGACTGTCAAATTGACATATTGGGATAGAGAATGAACGATAATTGATAATTTTACATTGCGAAAATGAAACGTTTGATAATTCTTTGGAAAATGTATTTCGTTTCATTTTTGCCATCATCTCCAAAGCGGCTTCTATCAGATGGTGATAATATGTTTTTAATAGGAAACAGTGAAAGGAAAATCTTTGGTCCAAAGTTGTCTTCAATGAAAGCAAGTATTTCACCTACTTTTCTATAATTTTCTTACTTTTCTATATTTTCTCGGGTTCAACGCAATACCTTGAAAAAGTTTTGGAAGCGTGATTGATTCGGTACTACCATTTTGACAAAAGTCTCATATTCTAACTCTAGCTGAATCTAATAGCAAAAAAAAAATTAAAAAATTGTACGATGAATGGAGATTATTACAAAAAAATTGTAAACCAGCTAGTACATTACTCGCTTGCATTGAAAAATCTAAAGTTTCTGCTAGAGATGCGATTCAAATCATAAGTGTAACTGCAGCTGCATTACGACATCGTGTAGAAGATCTTGCTCTCATTCGTACAACCATTTACTTGATGAGAAAAAAATACTGACACAGAAAAGCACATGATATTTTGAAGAACTTCGATGTAAGTTAGTTAAAGTTTTTACTTTACATACTTCAAACTTTTGTATTTTATTGGGATGGAAAACTTCTCCGAGAAATGAAGGGTAAAGAAAAGGTTAATCGACTTGCTCTTTTCGTTTCAGGGGAAAATTTCTGGTATTCCGAAACTAGATAAATTAAATAGATTATAAAGAATTATTACAACTATCTCCGCATTTCATTGGTGTAGATGATCAGTTTTGAGTAACTTAACATGCCAGATTTATAGTAAAAGGAATTTATGTTTATAAAAAGTTTCTATGTCAAGATGATTTTAAGCTAACGGCAAAAAAATTGAACGTCATACACAGTGTTTGTATTTCTCTAACCCATAACTACGTACAGTATTGTATGTCAGCAAGCAATTGTACCGTCACGTAGAGATTTACAACTAACAAAGATTCAGTCCAGTATTTTCAGCAGTTTTATTAGAAAAACTGCAATTGGTTTAGTATTTTTCAACTCTGAAGTTCCACCGGAAATTAAACGAAAAAATTATAAAAGCTTTAAAAAGAACTAAAGATGACGATCTTTCATGTTCGAAAAAATTCGAAACGACAATTGAAGACATAATAAAGCTTTTAGATAAAAATCTCAGATATTTTGTTACTTCTAAGATTAAAAAAAGGTTTTTGCTTCGGTTGAAAATTTACTTCGATTTTTTAAAGTACGATCCAGTCATAGAGTGAAAGAGGTGATTATTCTTCATGTCTGCGAATGTAAAAACCTTACAGTTGTTAATTATCCAGCAGAATGAACTATTAAGTTAGGCATCGACTTCAACCGAGCCTTAACATATGACGAAAAAGACAAACAGTACTTATTGCATATTGTTGAATATTATCGACAAAACTAACCATCTCATACTAAATTGTTGTCATTAAGCCGAAAACATGATGAATTTCTAAAATTAGAATAGTAAAACAAACAAAACACCAAATATAATAACGGCAAAACATATAAATAATGTTAGTCAAAAATTTTCTTGAAATAAAACTATTAGCAAATGTGTTCTTTGAGCAAAACAGTACTTTAAATGATTTTTTTTATATTGGGATACATTTACAATTTTGATCTCAACTTCGATCTGAATTTTTTTTCCCTTAATTTATAGTTCAAAAGGAATATTTTAAGCACCGCAGACATATAAAAATAAGAAACAAAATTTTGCCGTTAAAATGGTTGAAGAAGCTCCAGCGAAAAAATTATTTGAAGCGATAATTGGACGAAGAATGCGTAGAGGTAGACTATATCTCCGGTGAAGTGATCAAGTTAAAGGACCACTAACCTGACTTAATGTACGCGACTGGAGAAAAAGCGCTGCGTCAGGCCGAAACCCGGTAATAGGTTTGTTATAGCCAAATAAGTAAGTAAGTATTAAACATTAATCTACATTTACTGATCTATCCTATTGAAAAAACTTACCCCTTGCGTCTATAATCGGGACGTGTTTGCATTGAAAACATTGCCCCATAATAAGAGTGTACCATCCAAGCGGCTAGTTCATTAGTATCCTTACGAAATATACCCAAACCAGGCAATACACGAACTAATATTTCAAAAACTTCAACGCATTCAATTTCACTGGCCGGATATAAGTCATGTATACCTTCAACATCATCTAATGTTAATGGGCGCATTATAGCATCATCGGGTAAATCTTCAAATTCTAAGTCCGTATTCAATTTATTACAAACATATATATCGCCTTCGAGCCTTTCCATAACACCAAACTTACAGTAAAAATCATCCAGCCGATTCATGATAGCAATATGTGTAAAATTCAGGTACAAAGGCTTTTGCCAATCTATTAGCACATCCTCGGTGCGCATTAAATCGACATGTTCTATTACTCCAGACGGACAAAATATTCCGAAACTTTGGTAGATATTGTTGTTGGGCTAAACAAAAATATTGAGACGTATAAATTTGAGATATAAAAAAACATAAATTAATAAGTATTTACAGTTAGTGTACATCCTGGAAAATGTAATATTATAGGCTTCTCTGGCCAATCCTTCGAAACATAGAAATGGAAGTCCCAAACACGGTCATTCAGGTACGTTTGAATAGTTTGATGAAACTGCAATAAAAATGAGTGAAATAAAAGATTAATCATTTTTGTAATATATGTTCAAGATTTAAACTCATATTCTTTATATATGTATACTCATAAATGCAATAATCACTTGGTTTCAGAAACAAAAACAAAAAGCGTATAACAGTAAGGTGATCTGGATATTTTCATTATTTTCTGGTATACAGGATGTCAAAAAAATGTCTACCCGAAAAAAAGCATTTAGTCCAAAAGGTGTCAATGTATTACAAACAATTATCCTAAATACAATCATTTTAGTTGTTTGTTATTTTTTATATTTCAATGGATTTGAAAATTATAATGGTTTAAAAATAAATTTTTTGAAATGGTTGGGTATATTTTCTTTAGAGAGAATTAATTATTTAAAAATGTTTGTAATGTATTCTTTTTCATTTTTTTTTATAAGATTCGAAAAATTTAAAATCCTTCCTGCTCATGGTTTAAATTTAATGCAGATCGATTTCCGAAACTTGTATATATATACAGTCAGAGTCATAAGTCTACAAGCAGGCACTACAAAAATTTTTGTTTGAAAATATTTTCCAAAAAAATAAATTTATTGGAAACATATTTTATTGTTTTTTTATAACATTCAATGCGCAACGTTTTTGCGAAGTTTCGTTGCATTTCTGCAAAAAACAGCCGAGATAACGGTACTTTTAACATAAAGAGTAGCAAAACAAGCGATCAAAAGTCTACAAGCACTTGGTATTTCTGCAGTTCTAAGGCGAGTTAAATGTTAATTTGTAAAAATTTGGATTGCGGCTTATAGTGTTTGTGGTAATTAATTATAAAACTGTAAAAAATTGTATTCTGCTTAAAATATTTATTACAAACTGGCAATGATGTCTCATCGGAAAGAAATAAGCGTCGTAGAAAGAAAAATCATCATAATATTTTGGGAGGAAGCAAAGTCGAACCGGGAAATTGAACATTTGTTTGGAAGATCGCACTGTTGAGTCCATATCGTGATCAGAAATTGGAAAACTACCGGAATTATCACGTCAAAGACGCGTTCTGGTCACCTATCGAAACTCACTCACCGCGAAATCCGCTTAATATTAAATTCAGTAAAGAAAAATCCACGTTGGCATTGGAAATTGTACGCAATATACAGGAAAGCTTTGCAAAAAATATTTCCGTGGTTACCGCACGTAGAATTTTGAAATGGGTCGGTTTTTATGGTAGAGTAACACGAAAAAAGCCTCACATATCTTTAATTAATCGAAACAAGCGCATTACTTTTTAAAATAAATATGTAGGTATGCCGGAGGTGTTTTAAAATAATGTGCATAACTCTGACGGATCCAATTTCTGTATTTCTAGCATTCAAGGATGTAAATTAGTATGGCGTAAACGAGGTGAGGCATACAATGAACAAAGTCTTTTCCCAACTGTAAAACATAAAGGTGGTGCACTGGTGCTCTGGGGTTGTATGGCAGCTAAAGGTACGGGAAATGTTGAGTTTGTGGAAACAACAATGAATAGAGATATATATCTAAACATTTTGAAGAGTTATATGCGATCAAGTGCTGACAAATTGGGACTAGCAGATGGATTTTACTTTCAACAGGACAATGATCCTAAACATACAGCATAAATTGTGCGTCTTTGGTTGCTATATAACGCTACAAAACTACTGAATATGCCTCCGCAATCACCGATTTTAAATCCCATTGAACATTTATGGAGATTTTTGAAAAAATAAACTCGTAAATATTTAGTTTCGACCAAACAGCATCTGAAAGACATAATCCTAAAGGAATGGGGCGAAATAACAACTCAGGACACCAGTAAACTTGTAGTTTCGATGAAAAACCGTCTAGTGCAAGTTCTTAAGCATCACGGTTATCCAACTAGTTACTAAATTGCAAAAAAAATCAGGAATTTTACACTAAAACTTTGCCTTATACTAAGTGCTTGCAGAATTTTGATCGCTTGTTTTGCTACTCTTTATGTTAAAAGTACCGTTATCTCGGTTGTTTTTTGCAGAAATGCAACGAAAATTCGCAAAAACATTGTGCATTGAATGTTATAAAAAAACAATAAAATATGTTTCCAATAAATTTATTTTTTTGGAAAATATTTTCAAACAAAAATGTTTGTAGTGCCTGCTTGTAGACTTATGACTCTGACTGTATATGTTGAAAGTAAGATTAGTAAAAATGAATATTTGGTGGTAATTATAATAGAATGCAGAAAGAAAAGCATACGCTTGATTAAAAATCAAATTTTTTAATTAAAAATAACATAGAGTATAAAAACTGAAAACGAAAAGAGGGCGAAGTAGACAGTTCACATCAAAAATAATCGAACTACCAATTTTTAATCGGATTTATAAAACTTCACACAATCCGTGTTTATATTCAACCTTCAAGGAAGGTAGAGAAGATTTTTTTGTTAATAAATATGAAAAAAAAAATTATAACTTTTCTGCATGCAACTTTTAATTGCACAATTAGTAAAGTTTTACTACAAAAAGAAAAACATACTAAAAAGAAAGTGGAAAAAAATAGTTTGATAAACTGCATGAAAATCACTCTCCATCCATACTGATGAATACAATTTACATGCATTTAGGTTTTTCTTGAAAATGCCATTTAAGAAAAAAAATTCTGTGCACCACCTCCGCAAGGATAATTGACTTCTATGAGATGAGCATACAAATTTCTAAGTCCGTGTCCCAAACACACCAACAAGAAGGCATTAAAACAGAAATTCGTCACAAAAATTTTTATCACAAAAAGTAAGTTTATTATTCAAACACTGCAGATTTTATTGGAAGTCAATATTGAATAATGAATATACTGTGTAGCGTAAAAATTGAGGACCACCTCAATATTTCCAACACATCAATTTCAAAGGAAAATAATACAAAGTACGAAGAATGCTTTGGCTAAATCAATTTGTTTTTAAAATAAAATTAAAATAAAATTTATAATATTAAAATAAAATAACTTAAATTTTGTCCTTTTTTACTCATATTGAGATATATTTAAATATTTTTTTTTTATAATCCATTTATTTTATTACAATCTGTCAGGTATAAATGACAATATGTAAAATATATTAACATGAATCGTAATAATAGTTATTACGATCTAAAAAAGAAAGGCACGTATGAATTATGTCCAGTGACATATCCATATATAATTAAAATAAAAGTGTGTGATCTACATATACATATTTAAAACATGTCTCGATGTTTTTCTTTTTAGCCTTGTAAAAGAGTTGGAGGGGGACGGACATCAGGTGTGTAACCAGCATATATATGCGATGAGCGTAATTATTTGTAATTCGAGATATTTCTTTCTTGATTGTCGGAACACGTAGTTCTTTATGCAGTTGTTCATTCGTTATATACCAGAGTGCATTTGTGATTATTCGTAATGTTTTAGAATGAATACGCTGGATAATTATCAGGTTTGAGTCTGCTGCAGTACCCCATAAATGGGCTCCATAACTCCATATAGATTTTAGTACAGTTTTGTATATAAGCAGCTTATTGTCTAGTGACAGTTTGGAATTTCAGCTGAGGAACCAAAATAAGTTTCGCAATTTGAGACCCAAGGCTTTACGCTTGTTAAATGTGTGTGGTTTCCAGGTTTGTTTACTATCCAGATGTATGCCCAATTATTTTGTTTCTACAGCTTGTGGTAAATTGACATAGTATATATTTTATATAGTAAAAACCAACTGCGCATAAATTTATAACGACTTCATCATCAAAAATAATGCCTTCAGCTTTAAGACAGCTTTGAATTCCGCAAGAAAATGATCAATACAAATGATGAAAAGTATTAATAAAAGTATTCGTCAATTTTCTGAAAAAAATTTTTTTAACTCCATTTATTGTTTTGTGGTAATTTTTACAACCTGGCTGCTCATGTATTTTTCACATATTTTTAATAAAGTTAAGATCAGGATTGCGGACAGGTCATTGTCATGCTGAAGAACTGATCCCCACAGTCGCCGCTATTCCTTCAGGAACGATAGTATCAAATAACTTATTAGAATATCAACGTATTGATTAGAGTTAATTGACGAGTTACAATATGTTAGTCTGTCTGCCCATCCCAAGATAAACCTCTCCAAATTGTCTCCTTTCCACCACCATAATGTTCTTGTATATATATGCAGCCACATTATATTGCTCAGATGGAAGGCATCTAACAGTTTTACGACCACAAAAAAAAAAAAACCTGGAAACTATTTTCACCCAAGAACACAACATTTTTTCAAAAATATAGATCCAATTATTTATATACATTGTGACCGAAAAGTTTTCGGAGGTTCTCATTTAAAATTCGCGCGCTGTATATTTTTCGATATTTTAAGTTTATGTATTTGGCACACTGTTTAATTACTATGCCAAAAATGAGCGGATCTGTCGGACAGTTCGTTTACGGCAGCTGTTGAAACCAGTTCACCTCAGTAGTGCGTTGCGAAAAAAACAATGGAAAAAAATATTGAACAAAGAGTTTGCATCAAATTTTGTTTTTCGAACGAAATTTCGTGTGCAGAATCGTTGCGAATGCTACAAAAGGCTTATGGGGAATCAGTTTTATCGAAAACTCAAGTTTATGAGTGGTACAAAGCCTTTCAGGACTGTCGTACGACCGTCGAAGACATGCCGCGTTCTGGACGACCTTCGACCTCTACCACCGACGAAAACATTGAAAAGGCAAAGGAAATCGTGTTCAAAAATCCTCATGTGAGTGTTAGAGAGATAGCACGAGAGCTAGGCATCGGTCGTGAGATGGCTCGTTTGATTTTGGTGGACAATTTGTGTATGCGACGTGTCAACGCCCGGCTTGTTCCGATTCACCTCAATTTGTTCAACATTATCAACGATTTTAAGGCCAAACATTCAATAAATACCATCGAACAGCCACCGTATTCACCTGATCTTGCACCGTGTGACTTTTTCCTGTTTCCCAACCTCAAATTACCACTCAGAGGAACGCGTTTTGAATCCATAGAAG